GTGTTCAGCACTGAGCTCTGTGGATCTGACAAAACACAAAGCCAGATCCATAGAGCAGAAATCTGATCTGAGGTGGTTCTATAAAACAACTGATAGCAGGGCATGATCCTGGACCTGGAGTAGATTTCTTGCTACTAGAAGGGAACACATAGCTCATTGATTTAAATTTTGCCGCGACAGCTCCCTGTTGTCGCAAGCTGTAGAGCAGATCCCGCAAGCATGCAGGAGTCTTGGCATGCTTCAACTCATCCCCATGTCCTCATGCCTTGGATTTGAAAGGCCCCCCTTTCATTGTGCGAGTTTCCACCCTTCGATCGAGCATGAACGCATCAAAACCACACAACACCTCGCTGCCCTTGCGGCTCAGGCCGTCCCGTACCAATACCTCAATATACCAATACCACCATGCACATACTGTGTATGTATGCATGTAAGGAAAGAAGGAAGGAAGGATGGACGGATGGATGCATGTTTATGTATCATGCTCAAAAGCAAAGTGCGCTAAACTCATGACTCGTGTGGGCTCCAAACCAGTTGCCCCTCATCCCCTCCTCACCCGCACCTGACTCCCGGAGGACGCCACGATCTGCTCGAGCGGCAGGACGCTCGCAAGGCCCCGGTGCTGGGCCCAGCGAAGATGAGCCAAGGCCGGTGCCTAAAGTGACGTGGGACGTGGCAGGGGACGTGGCTGGAGGAGGCCTCATACCTTTGTTTTGGCTTGGATGTGTTGAGCTACAATGTGTGGCTAATTATCTTGTGGGCTCCAAACGTTGTCACCAGTTTGCGCCATTTTGGTTGAGATGTCGCTGGTAAGCCACCCCGATTGAATGAGTATGACTTTGCTGACCTGCAATGACACTAGAAGAAGTTCTTGTGATGCGCCAAGAGAGAATGAGAATCTTACTAAACTTGCTACAAGATATTGGACTTACATATCATTGCATGTTTGGAAGACAGGGACTTACAAGATATTCACATTTGGGCTAAGCAAGAAGACTGGGAAGACCAAGAATAGATTAATTGGTTGGGCTCTCTCTCTCTCTCTCTATTATTCAATTCTAATGAATTACTAGGAAATATAATATTATATAATATATATATATATTGATTATACATGTGCACACACCTTTTTGATGTTTCTCTTGTTTGTCAGCATGTGCGAAGCTTTTTGAGGTGATGATTTCAAGAATGGAGGCCCAGCGGGGGGGTGCCTGTGAACATCTTCGGATCCGAAACCGCCATCTCGTTCCGAGTTTCTGACCTCGCCTCGGTAAGACCAGCCATTTTGAAATACAAGGCTGCGAAGTCTGAGAAGGCCTGGACGAACCCAGGGACTTGGGTCGAAATGCTTTAATGTTGGGACTTGCATCGAAATCAGCTGAATCTGCTCGTGACATCCAGATGCATCTGTGATAGACCCTGTCAGTCCCATTTAACTTTATTCGTTCATGATTATTTCTCATCATCTGCCAGTTACCCGCCCCCTGATCCAAGCAATGCCAAAGCTTGAGACTTCACACCACTTCCCCGGTTTTCATGACGCCCCAACCCTGCCTGCTTCCTTGGCAATGAAACGCAAGTGATGCCTGCATCCAGAGCTCTCTGCACAGCCTCCTGAGTTGCGTGGCTTTGGGCGGTCAACGTTGCGACTTTGTTGCTTTGGGCGACATGTGTCTGGCGGCTGGATGATTCGCCCAGAATTCTATCTTAGTTTTAGGGAACAGGTTTTTGGGCCATCTCAAACCGCGTGCTTCTGCAAGCTGCAAGCTTTCACTTGCTTCCAAGTCTCTTGGGGAGCGGGGCGCAGGAGATCATCTGTGGTCAGCCATGCTTTGGGAGCAGGTGTGCGTTCCAGTAGCCGTTTTGCCACTGTTGGCAGGGTCACCTTGCGCGAAGAGGGTAACACCCTCAAGACGCTGTGGCGAAGATAGCTGTGCAGCATATATACAGCTTGGAAAATATAACTCTTTCAACACCCTGTGCAACGCCTAGTCTTGTTTAAATATTTTTGAAGGCCTAGTTTTGTTTACAACATCTTAGCTGTCTCTTGAAAAGCCTGGAAAACAAACAAGGTACAGTGGCAGAATTAGGCGCAAGTTCTTGCTTAGTCACACAACCAGGGCTGCAAATCCCTATCTACTACTTCTTGAAACTCCATTGAACCACAACAAATGCTAACGATACCTCCGAAGAGTTCGAGCTGGAGTTTGAAGTTCTCAAGCCTTTCTCCCGGCTGGATTTGAGACAATTAGAAGTGGAAAAAAGTTTTCCTGGTATCCTCACAGGAAAAAATACTAATGAGATCTACTGAGCATCCGCACTAATGCAGTTTGTATTGATTCACTGTGCCTAGTTTGGACTTTATCCAATGCTTCCATGTTGAAAGTGGCCTGCCAGGGTCTTCGAAGCCGTTTAGCCTGGCCTCGGCTTGGATGCCATAGGCCCAGCGATGCTGCTTCTCAAGAAGCGTCTTGGTTCCGGCCCAGTACTGTTTCCTGCGAGAAGGGTAGTACGTTGCGTCGCTTCTGTGTCACGCTGGGGACCTCTGTGAGGTGTCTGAGGTCAGCTGTGCTCCCGGCCGATTCAGGACGAAATCAGAGTCTATTCTCTTCCCTTCTGGCACCGACGCAAATATTGGCATCATCCGATTTCCTCCGGCTACATACGGGGGCTGATGAGTCTGGTTCATGATGACTTGTTTGTAAAGGTCTGATGTCTGAAAACCGTACAAACACCTGATGTTAAGCACCATTTGCTGACGACATTCTGGTGATTCTGGCAAATCGTTCAGTCCTCAAACACGCCGTTACGTATGTTTAACCCTCCCGGATGCTTGGTTGTCTTTGCGCCCATTCCAGTCTTGAAGGCAGCATAGGGCATCCAAACTAAGTCGATGGGCTTGCCCAAGGCCTGATTTCAGGCATCTTGCTGAGGTCCAGAACCGTCCAAACAAGCTTGTCAACATTTGACACAGCTCGATCATTTGTCATGACGTTTTGGTGCCTCCGCTGAGTTCTGCGACTCGAACACTATGAACTATGTACTTTCTTTACGAACTTGAGATGCAGTGTTTTGGCAGTGTTCCATGGCCATCTTTCATCAAAGCTTCCACTGGGTGAAACGGCTTCTCTCGCGCCGCGCTTGTGGTCGTCGACGTCGGAAGCTGGGCCTTCTCCGCCTGGGAGATGTAACCGCCCAGCAGCTCGGCAATGGCCGCAGGTGTAGCCTGAGGTCCATCAATCATAGGATCATCAACTTGTTTCAAAAGTCGTCTTCTCAGCATCCTAAAGACACCTGAGAATTCAGGATGTTCATTAAAAACCTGTGGCCTTGCGTTGCAAGTGATGCTCTGTTCCAAACAACTGACAAGCTGCATCAACCAACCGACTACTTATCCGCTGAATCGGAACATAACGACATCTTGCCATCCAGTCTGTCCTCTTTCCAAAAGGACCTCTATATATATATATATATATACAGGCTATATACTGTCTGTAGGTTCTGTAGGTCGCTCCATGATCCGCGCATCACGCATCCATCGCAGGCCCACTTAATTCGGGTGCCGCGCCTCCCTAGGTGCCGCCTCGAGGAGTTCCCCGGGGGGCGACACCGAGAGATAGATCGAAACGCTGGCGCTTCGCAGCGCTTTCCCCACTTGCCCCAAGGTCGCCTGGCGAGCCAGGGAAAAATGGCGGTGCTTTCGGGCAATCAAGGCACATCCAACAGGTCCAGACCAGCTCAATCATAGAATGATTCACAACATGCTGAAGGTATGGATTCATGCTCCGTTGACTGGCCATAATCATTCACCTACCGTGGTTTCAAGCTAAAACCAAGACCTGCTACATCCGAAGCTGGGACGTTCATGTTACTCTCAAAGCACAGCATGAAGACTGACTTCTTTGGTGAACCTTTGTCAAAAGCTGGTCAGAGTGCCATGGTGGACCAAGCAAGGCATGCAAGGCCTCAGGGCACGGCAGCACCAAGACATGCGTAGCCTGGCGAGGGACCCGGAATGACATGCGTAGCAGTTTGACATGCTGCTGAGTACTAAAGGCAATTCCAGGCCTACAGCTCGATCCCCTAAATCACTATGTCAATATCTCTACCTGAAATACTTTTGAACCTCAAAACTTTTTCAGGCATGAAACAGGTTGCTCTACGTGTATCAATGGCAAAGCACCGACCTGCCTGTGCTTCGGTTGCACAATTAAGAAGCAGCCACACTTGTTAATGGAACTGTTTGGATACTAAACCAGTTAATACAAGTTATATATCTAAACAGTATGAGATGGCAACGACGCACCTCCAACACAAATCCGGATTCGATGACCGGTCTAAAGCCACATCCCACATCTCTGCACCTCTGTCGCTAGGGGCTTCAGGCCATCAAGGCTGCATAGTGCGCCTGTGTCGACTGGTAGTGCTCTACATACACGAAAAAGTGGGGCCGTGTGTCGACTGGTAATGCCGAATCAAAAGAAGAGTTCTGGGGCCTATCACGATGCGCTGCACAAAAGCATGCAGCCTTATGCGGGTACAAAGAGTGTTGGAGTGACGTCGGGTGCCCGCGTTGCGGGTGCGTCTAACTTTTGCGTCCTGCGGACTTCACCCTGATCCGCTGGCTTAACTGGTCACACCAAGGAACAATCGCTGGAAACGAATGAAACATGGAGGGGATCAGGTCCCATGACCAGTAACATTGGATGATGGTGCAAAGTAAAGGCCTTGTTCCAAAATAGTGATTTCCTGGTTTACGGACTGTTTACAGGTAATAGGACAAACCCAACATGTACACGACTTCGAGCTGGTGATGCATCCAGACCAGTGCTTGAGATCTTTTGCTCAACAGCTCCGCTGAATGGCTCCTTTTGCGTCAAACAGCACGTTCGAGCGCTTGCCTGTTCTCATGTTCTCATGATGCCTTGCCTGTTCCAGCTCACATTGGTGAGGGGGCCAAGCTTAGAGAGAATAGCCCATCAACCACAGACTGGTAATTTGTCAGAAGGGATACAAGACGAGGGTCTCACTTTTAGCCATACTGGTGTGTTGGTTGGTTGAAAGGGCCTTCCTGTGCACTGCCCAAGGAAGACTGAGCCTTAGGTCTTGTTCAGCAAATTGACATTGCGAAGCTAGTGGAAGTCGTGCTCTGTGTGGAGTCAAGCCAGTCAACAGTGTCTTGTTGGATCATCCGCAGCACACTTGGCATTTGGATGATAGTCAGGAAACACTCTCGTTCGACGTCCTCTGTGCCCCTCTGTACCCCTCTGTGCCCTGTGCCGATTCATGACGGCTTAGACTGAGACTTCGCGCAGAAGTCGAGGTCCGATTCCGCAGCGCATGCGTGGCAAAGGACCACTGCACAATCACGACACTTCCATCCTTGCCTGCGGAGCGAGCGGAAAATGCATGGATCAAGGGCCACCGGATCAATTACAACCTCTTCTCACTTGTCTTGCAGCCCAATTGAAGCTTGACAGTTGCTTGATAAGTAGGACAAGGAACCAACCAAGGATGATTTGCAACACCAAATGTACAATGTACAAATTTCTATAGAACAGTATAACTACGTAGTGCCTGCTAAGTGTGTGGACGTTTGCTGCCAAAGGCAACCAAGATATGTGTCAAATCCTGCTTTGGGGTTTTGGGCACAGCAGGTGGAGTTGTGGAAACTGACAAGTATGATCTGGCCAAATGACGCTTCGAACACATCACTGCAATGTGAGGCATGTGTCGCCACACGTGTGTATGAGGATACTCCCTCTCAACTGGAACAACGAAAACCAACTCCCTGCAAACATGGTGTGCCAGTTTTGTGTTGGTGTGTAGAGTGATTCCAAGAACCATGTACACTCCCTGGAGCTAGCATGGAAGTGGATGGCATGGCTCCCAACCAACATGGGGGTGAACTCCACTTCCATGTTAGTTCCACGGAAGGAATATGTAGACCCCCTAATAAATACCCACTACTACGAATGTGTTGGACACCGTGCCACTATCTATTGGGGGGGCCATTATGATGTCTCGCCGCCAAGCGCTGATCAGCGCTGATCCGCGCGGAGCAAGCGGAAAGTGGCTGTTCTCGATTGGCGCGCAGCGCTGTTCGTTCTGCCTCCAAGCTCCCCAGAGGAAGCCGCCACAGTGCCTAGGAGACTTCCAGTAGCCCGGTTAAAGCAAACACGTGGGACTGGCCGACTCGTCACACGTGCCGACTCCGGTGTTTTGTTCTGCAATATGACCCTACTCTACTCTAGCCTCTAGCCTTGCTATTGACCATAGAGTTGAAGTGATCAGCCTTTGCAATCACATACTGCTGTAAAATAGGTGTTGCGTGTTGGGCGTGTTGCCTGTGGATGTGGGATGTTCTTTTCTTGAACCCCCCCAGCAACTACAGGCTACTCTACATGCTTTTGCCATCACAAGAAAAGCCTGTGATCACCTTCGCAGCATTGCCGGCAAAAGCATTTTGACTCATGACCAATTGGAGAAGTGGGGCTCAGGAAGTGTTGGTCTTCATGAGTCTTGTGAATTACTATCTGACTGAATTGAGCAACATCCTCACGATGTGGTCCTTGTCTTCAAATAAAACAATCGACCATCACCACAACCTCTTTTGAGCAGGCAAGGTTTTGGACACTAGTCAACCAACAATTTGCCATTTGTTCTTTTGTACCCAAATGGTACAAACCTGAGGACTGGAAACATGACTTGTCCTTTAAGCTCGCTGCCTAGCTTTCCTCACTTCCACAACTTCAGCAGCCTCTGCAACAACTGAACAACCCCGCTAAAATGACATACACGGTGAAATCTTAGCCAGAATGGAAGAAAAGCTCAAATGACGCAGTCCTGGATTGGTGTTTCGGAACCCTCGGCAGGAGGTCTACAACAAGATCCACAATTGGCAACAAGAACATGAACGATTCATTGATTCGGTCGGTTGGTTGGTCGGTCGGTCGGTCCGTCCGTCCGTCTGTCCGTCCGTCATCATTCAGTTCATTAATTGCATGTCATGTCATTTCACTTCATTTCATTTTGCCTGACGGCGCCTGACGGTATGTCTACTCCTATATCGAGTGGTTTATCAAATGTCTTGCTCTTGCTCCGCTCAAGTGCTTTCCAAGCTGCTGACACCACGCAGGCTCCGTCCAGGTTTCTTCCTCCAAGACATGCATCGACACCTTCTCGGGCACGTTCGAGGACACCTGAGAGCCTCAACAGTAGGTCTGTCGCAACTGGTTCCAGTGGCAGCTGGAAACAAACAACAAAGCGGTGTTGTGGCTTCTTTGTTATCCTTTTTTTTGAAGCAGAATCATCATAGAATCACATACCAAGAGCACTAGGGTTTTACGAAGCACTAAGAAACAAACAGTGGCATCCTCAGGGTTTACCGAACCAGCACCAATCCAGTTCGAACGACACCCCGAGGAGCTCTCTCCAGGCCTGAAATTCGTTTACACGAGAAGAAACCACTGGAACGTTTGCTACTTGATACGGAATCTAATCACTGGGCATTACAAACAACGTGCACCACACAGTATTATCTCAAATTGTGCCACACATAACGTGCACCAAGGCACTGTTGCTCAAGGAGGCCGCCCCGCCCGGAGTCAAAACGCAAGTGCCGGAGCGTTTCAAGTCGCTCCGAAGATTTATAGCTTCCAGGGTCACTCCCATGCCTGGACCACAAGTCTGACAAAAAGAACGCAAAAACTCACAGGAAAGGTGCTTTGAGCTTGGGACAGAGTCATTGCTAATGCATGCGATGTCCAAGAACTGAGAGAACTACGTACTGGTTTACGATGTGCATTAAGATTGCTCTCAAGGACTTCCTGCGAAAAGACAGAACCCCTCATTTGGACATCACTTGGGTGCATGGTTCCAGGGCAGCCAAAAGGTCCCTTTCCTTCTATGAAGACCACATGTCCATCATATATTGAAAAGGCAGAACAGGTGCTCAACCACAAGACAACGACAGTAGATCTAAATCAAAATAAAGTGATGATATATATATATATATGTTACACATGTGTAAACATATACAAACATGTTAGAAAGGGAAAACATATGCACATCTTCTGCTGCTCGGCAAGCCTAAGCATGCCGTGGCGGAGGTATCCTTGTACTTGTAGATATACAGCGCCCTCAGCACGCGAGCCACACAGGAGTTCTGCGCCAGAAAGAAGGCTAACATGATGGTCAATAGTGTGCGAAGCACGAAGCCCTGCCCAGGCGGTGCCGAACACAAATGCATCAGCCCACTTGCTCAACCAAAAAGGCGCAGCAGGAAAGGCCTGCCTCAAAAAAACACCTTCCGTGCACATCGTCTTGTTTTGGTAAAATACCGATGGCAACCTAGGGATAAACATGCATTTGATTCCGATTGATTCCCATGGCAAAAGAAAAGTCGGAATGCCACGAGCTGTGGCCCAAAAGCTACATCGCAAAGCACTGCCATGGGATTGGAGCTTCAGGACTGCCAACATGAGTGAGAACGCGGAAACGCTGGTCCGCTTGTGTTTGCACGAATCGTTTGCGGAATCCGTTGTGTTTGTCATTGTGAGTTGTCAAGCTATATTAGGCTATATTGTATAATATCGTTGGTGTTGTCATTGTGTATGTATGTGTGTCAATGTCTGTTGTTTGCGCAATTCGTGTCAAGCCATTGACAGCCGCTGGCGGACGGCCACCCAGTCGCCAAACGAAGCCAGGATCCTTCGCCCCCACCAACCAAGGTCTGTTTGGGACATGGGAAAACATCGAAAAATGGCGTCAAGAGGGTGCTCCAAGTGTCTCTTCAGTGGCCCAAACCTTGCATTTCGCACGGGCCCTTAAAGCATGCAGGGAACGCAGGATAGCTGACTTTAAAAAAGTCATTATTTGTATGTATATATATATATATATATCGGCGATTGTTGGTAAGTATATACATGTAATTACTCACACGACCCTCAACAGGTTTCAGGAGTTTGTTCTTAACATTTAGACTTAGCCTCGCATCCTGAACTATGAACTACCTCAATTCTTGTTGCTGGGGTCGTCAATCCATCGTCTCTCCAAAAAAACTCATACCTATCTAAGATATTTTGCGTCGAATAAAGAACAAACATGACGACTTCTCCGTAAGCAGCCCCAGCCGCCTGCCACTCTCTGAAGTGGACCAACGCCAACGCGACGAGGCCCAAAGCAAAGCTCACTGCACGCTTGTGTGCTACAGCTTTCCTGAGTATTGGACACACACACACACAACGGACGATGTGCCTTTCGAGCCCTTATCATGACAAAAAAGGTTTCCACAACAGTGTAACCTAAGAATGTTGGTCATGTTCCAAACTCCTCAGAGTTCTTGCTGAATGAATTGCCTCACCCACAGAATCCTCCGTTTTCACCCCTTTTCACACAGTTTTTTTGATGCGTCACTCTCCCAAAAATCCGCCACTCGTCACTCATTCGCCCAGCATCGCCCAGGTCTCTTGCAGGTCATGGAGAGTTGAAACACAAGTGCCCAGCTGATTCTGCGCCATGGAGATTTCCGTGTACCTCGAGTTGCGGCGGCAGATGTCACATCTGGAACTGAAAATGTGCACATCTGCACCCGGACGCCGATGTTCTCGTGGTGAGAGGCAAACATGTCTGTTTTGGGGTCTTGAAGTCCTTTTGGAACTGTTTGGTATATTTTGGTATTGCGTCCAATAAAGGTCCAAATTTGCTCCATGGCTGCACAATGCTACGCTTGACACCATGACAAGGGCAAAAAATTGCAAAAAGGCATGACGGCAAGCCATGTCATGGCTTCCTGGATGACATACACAGTCAGATCGAATCGGCCTATCTCAACTCAACCTTGGGGACTGACTTCATCTGACTTCCAAGCCCCACGAGGACACACGCACACACACACACACACCTGGGGTATACGGTATACCCCACGAAACAGTGGATGATGATGGTTAGTAAGGCCCTTTCTCCGCAGTAATAAGTGTTTACATGTGTTTACCGAATCTTACCGACTGTTACAGGATGTTACAGGTCCCATGGGACAACCCCCTGGCCACACACCCAACTTGCCTCCACTCCTCCCAGCGCCTAGCCTTGCGTCTGAGCCACTGCTGCGCAGCTAGGCCCACCTCTGCTGCCTTGAAGACCTGCTGGAGCTTTGGATCGCTCACCGCGCTCTCGGACACCTCTGTGGGCACCGGCTGCGACAGCAGAAGGACCACCTCAGTGGAGGTGTGCAGGATGGATGGAGAGCATCCCGGTGCTTTGGTCAAGGGATCACGGGTCAGAACATGCAAGTAGAATTTGACCACCATTCAACAATCTGTGGAGAGGAAGCATGCCGCATGCATGCCTACATGCCGTTCTGTTTTTTTGGTTCGCCCAAGTGATGTCTGTATCTCTTTGTTGGGAGGAAGTTTGCTCTGCTAATCGGGATCAAGCGGTAAGACCTCAGCTCCAAACACATGTGCAAAGCATTGAATCTTCAATCCAAGTTGCACAGAACTTGACGATCAAGAGCGGCAGTATGAAGTGAGGCCTCACAGCTATCTGACCGGGTTTCCTTGCCGTGAAGGACACTGATGAGTTACAGCTCATCAAACCTTCACAGACCCTAGATACGTCCCACCTCTGCACCATCGTGTCCTGTCCAAATCTATCATGGGGGAAAGGTACAATGATGTGCAAAGGCTCTACTGCTTGATTCCGGGGAGCAAAACCCCTTTATTGTCGAGGATTCTGGATCCAGGTTGACGCAAGTCTATGCTAATATACATGCAGTCTGTTGCTCTGCCGTTAGTTGGATAATACATGTTCTCCTTCAACAGCGAATTAGTTATAGTTATTGATTACCAAGTAAGCAGGACGACACCCACAGATCAAACAACAACCCCTGCACTCTTGGCTCATGTGTCCAAAGACTGCTGAATGTGCAATCTCTACCATTAAAAAGAACCAAACATCAAAAAGCGGCCGGACTTGTCTTCGGGGTCGACACAACTGTGGAGATCCGAACTCCGGGAGGACCGGTGCAGCCTCCACACGAGGAAGATGGCCGTCCCGAAGACCAGGCTGCTGAAGCGTTCGGCACGGGTCACCAGCGGCCCGCAGAAGTCGCCCACACGACCCAGCACACGGGCGATGGAGGAGACATGGGTCCTAAGGGTCACCATGGGGAGAAAACGGCGAGACGCGTCTCGGGGTTTGGTCGTTTCTCAGTTGAGCAGAGAGGTTTTTAAGATGTGGTGGTGTTATCATCCTTGGGTGCCTACGTAGACCCTTGCTACGTTTCCACCGTGTACGGCAGACATGACTTATTCCACATCGCCTACGGGAAATCTACGAACCTGAGGTTTGGAGCATGACTGTTCCAATTTGCCTACGGTACCATACAGTTCTTGCAAGTGGGACTGTTTACGCAGCAGCTGACCCTTTATCGTTCAGATGATGAGCTCGACAGCGCGGCCCAAGTCGTCAGCAGACAAACGGGGCAACTGCAACTGACTGTGGTGATTGTTGGATTGCCGTAAGCGACCCCGAGTTCTCAATGACCTTCTCGATGATCTTCATACATGCCACAAACATAGTGTCTGGGGCGGGCAACTCCTGCTTCAAGGCAGCACACAGGTGCTCTGCGATGGGCAAGTTGGTTTTTTCATTAGCTACGTGCTTCACAACGGAAGACAAGCAAGCAACGACGTCATGCTCATCATTAGTTTTGGACGATACCACGCGGGACGTGAACTGACGCATATAGTCTCCCCATGTCTTCGACATTGGGAATACTTCTCGGAACAGCAGGTTTTCACAAGCGGACATGGAAGGATCACAAAATGCATTTTTGCCTACGGTGCCTGTACGGAGAACCTGTGGTGAGCTTACGGAAAATGTCCCCAGGAAAACAACACAAAAGAGTTGTTTGGGACATTGTTGGGAGTTCTCACCTCTCACACCGTCCTAACCTCCCTGGTTGCATTGCAATGTCTTGCGTTTTTTCTCTGGTGGTCATTCTAAGTGCCCTTGCAAACTGCCCCTGGTTCATGTCCCAGGCTATGAGATGAAACACATCTGCTACAAGAAACTGAGACAACAAAGCCACTGTCAATTCTAATTTGAAGCAGAATCACAAGCTGGGTGACTTCAAGGCCCAGCATGCTATTTAAGTTGCCTACGGCAAACGCCTACGACAAACATTAGACAATAGAATGCCTACGATCGCCTACATCCCCAAGCAGGTTGCCTACGCCAGCCTTTTGAAGGTTATTACATCTTGTACAAACCCTTTCATATCAAAAAAAACTCAGCTCAGTTGTTCAATGGATTTCAATGCATGTTCTCAATGCATGTTCCTCTTTCTGGAGGCAATGTTTGTTGGAAGTTCTGGTTGAACCCAACCAGGGTCGACATTGGCTTTCCATTGGGCAAATCACCATCAATGACAATGGCTGGCGTTTGCTACAATGTGCCTGGTGGGAGGCGGCTGGGATGCTTTCTTTGGACCTGCAGTTCTTTTGCCAGGGTCTTGGGTAGATGAAACAAACATGCCTTTGCTGTAGACCTGCCTGTGCCCTTGCAAGGGCAGTGGGACACTGCCGGTGACTTCGTCCGAAATCCCTCTTTCAAAACATCACGTTCAACCCTGTGGACGTGTGTGAATTGAGCTCCATGTCGCAGACATTCATGGACATTTGACTGAGCGACATCACGATGTATAAATAATATATAATAAATAAGGTATGTCTAATATACATATATATATATATGTATTGTTCTTCCATCACCCTTTTTTCAGACCCTTACTCGCCCGTCTCCGAAGCCAACACTGTCGCCCGACACTCGCCAGGTCTCATGAGCTCCCCAAAGTTCAAAGGCTGCAGTGGTTCACCAAAGCTGGGAGGCCCCAGGCACAATGCATACAACCTCAGCGACTCGCCCAGCTTCGGTCGTCTGAAGCATGAGTTGATTGAGTTGATGCATCCGAATCAAATCAAAGACTCGATCAGGACGAGTCGAAGCTCTTGGATAGAAAACACTCTTCACCATCAATCTTGAAGTTTCACATATTTCAGGGTTTCTCCTGAAACACTCTGAAATTTCTACTCTATGTAAACTTGCTGTGCAATTTTACCGAATCTACAAAGCTTGGTGGGTGTCCACGTCGATCTGCAGCTGGGCAAACCACAAAACGTTCAGTGCAGGCGAAAAAAGCAAACAAGCACAGCTGGGGGAACACACTAAGACTTAAGAAGTGTGACCGATCAACAAGTTCGCCTTGAACATCCTTGAACATCCTTGAACCCCAACTGAGGCACTCATCCTGTGGCTGCTGCACTCGGAGAGTCAGCTGTAGCCGAATGCGTCCCACAGTCTGTGCCTCGCCCGACTCGCTCAGAGCCACTCGCGTGCGGTAGCTGGTGGCTTTCGTGACAGAGTGAAGGTCGAACCAGCCCGAGAGCTTGGTGTTCAAGGGCAATCGCTCCAGGGAGATATCTACGCAGCCCAACCTGAGAAGGAATCAAACGACATTGTTTGTTGCATTCTCAGGAAAAGCCAGGTACTTTGCAGGCTTCTTGCTGACTATATAGTCTATAGTGGATCCAAGGAGCACGGAACCGCATCTCTCTCCAACATCTAAGTCGTGCGTTGCAAGTCGAAGTCTAGCAGATATGAGTTGATTCCGATTTGCATGATAGGTCAATAGGTCAACAATCAGGGCGGCCTGCGCAAGTAGCATTGAAAGGAAAGGCACCCACCCTTCGACGGAGCTTTGAAACCTGAACCCGAACAGACCAAGGAGCAGGTCGTCGCTGAGACCGACCAAAGACCCAGCAAAGCCCACGATGTTCTCCGTGCCAAAATCCTCGTCATGCACATACCTCAAGATGTGAGCAAAAGGGGAATCCAGTTCGGACAGGCATGAAAGGAACGCAGCCCCACTGGAATTCCTACAAACTTCAGCAGGAATTCTTTCCACCTGCTCCCTATCACCCAAGAGTTGAAGGGGCAAAATAGTTTGCCCTCCGGGCAATAGTTGAATCGAATCTTTCCGCAACCTTGAGAGCAACTTGTCACTGCCAGGCAGTGCATAGATGTGAATATATGATGTTGGAAGATATAGGAACCCTGATCCAAGAAAACATAATGAATACACAACAATGAAACAAACAACACAATCCGTGCTGGTTCCCCATAGTTTTTTAGCTTCTAAGACGAGCCACTTTCCAACAAGGGAACAAAATCATGGCTTGCGGAGATCCCTTCCTTTTTGCAGGTGTTCATTCATGTCCTTGAAGACTTGACTTGGTTGGACATTGGCACTGAACAAGCAGCATCAAGAGCAATTAATTTATGTGATCACTCTCTAAAAAGTTCAACATGTTTCAACAAATTGTCAACAAATATATATATATATAAATGCAGGTATGTTGCAGCGACGGTATGTTGCAGCGACGCGATCTCTTGTCAACCTGCCACCACATACACTAAACCATCCATGATCATCCTAATGTGTGCTCACTGACCAACCTGCTTCCTCAGCCATCTTACCTATCTTATCTACAACTTTCCGCTGATTTCTTGTGCAATTTGCTTCGCCAAGCTGCAGGGTCAGCACGCTCTCCGGCCGATAAACAGGGATGTGAAACTCTTCTCCCCAGCGCGGGGCTAAGGTGCCATTCTGCGTAGTGGTTCGCACCTGGATCAGGTGGAAGGTGAGTTAGCTTAACAGCTTGGCAGCGTCGATTTGGTGTGTTGATTTGGAAACCGTCCGCAAACCCCTCACCTCCAACCTATTCCCTCTTTTTGGCTGAATGACACGCACACCGTTTGGACAAACAGTTTTTTCTTTTCAGCGGATGTAAATGCTGAATTCTGGGCATTTCAGCCAGTTTTATCCAAAAGTGCTCCAAAGTGCTCAGTTGCTACTGTCACCAAAATGACGCATGATTCATTCTAAAGGATATTCACTGAAAGGATACTATAAAGCCCCAAATTCTTGGAGGCACGCCTTACAGCTTCTGCGCACCTGCAAGTCTTGGTCATTGATCTGTGCGGTCACATAGGGATCCGACAAGCCATTCAGGTCCGCCGCAGGCAATGCATGCGCCCGGTCGATAAAGAGCTGCAGTACTGCGTAGGGCGCAGCGCGGGGAAACGCACTGTTGGGATCATCAGAGCTGAGGTGAGGCGCAGCCAAGCACAACCAGGGTGAGAACGCTTCTGCTTCAATGGGCATGGGGCACCAGGCACACACGCCACTGGCACGCACGCCCAGCGCTAAGGCATCTCGGGCGGAACAAAGTCTGTTCACCTGTGTTTCTCTTGTTTCTGACACGGCGGGGGTCCATGAGGAGATATTGGATGGGGCTAATGAGCAAGTAGAAACACAAAATTGTATCCAAGTGGGCAACATATTAGTTCTGCAAGGCGTTCGTAATGTGGATTACATGGAAGGATTCTCTTTGACGTGCAATATGTAAGCCACAAGGCTGACTGCTGGATTGTTCCTTGCGTCTGCTGCGTGGATCATGACAAGCTACTTAAGCCATGAAACTCAGATGTGCTTGGCACGTGTCTGAAGCTCAAGAACACCCCTCAGTAAATTGTTGTTGTTTTTCTCTCTCTCTCTCTCTCTCTCAGAATCATCTTATGGCAAATGGATGGCCTGTTCATACCAATTCCCACGCAGTGCCCGCAATGTTTGATTGAATTCTGTGTCAAAGTGTACCGCGGAGGTGATCACCCCTCACTCTCATTCATGCTAAAATATGAAGGCACTCTTTACAGCCGCTGGTGCCTTCACAGGAAAGGACAAGCATCACGAGTATTCATAAATAGATCCTCCAGTGGTCCAGGCTGCGTCACAAGGGTATAGCATGGTATAGCGGTATAGCTTCCCAGCTCCGTCCTGTGAGACGACTTATATAGCCCTCTTCACGAGAGGGTAGAGCTTGCAGGTGCAGGAGCCCGGTCGACGAACCCACCACACCCCCCGGTTCGCCCGTTCGCAGGTCGTGCACGGCCTGGGGAGCAAAAGCTGTCATCCACCACGACACCGACCAAAGGAACAGAGCCCTGGCGGCCGTTCGGGAGAAGAACACTCCGATCATGTCAGCCGTTCGGTTCTGGAAAGTAGAGATTCCAAGGAAAGGGATCAATAGAACTACATAGGCAGTTGTGAACTGGCGGCTTTGTAGCAATCGAGCAGTCAGACTTAGCATGGTTGGAGGAGATTGAATTCTCAATGTCCAGTTTATCTCCAGAAACCGCTTCGATTGCACCTGCACGGCTTTTTGACCTTCCTCTGCAGTTGCCCCCCTGGCGCAGGATCGAGGCAAAGCAGGCCGAATTCGGCATGGCCTTGGCCTTGGGTCTCAGTCTCAGTGAGTCTCCGTGAGTCGCGTGGGCCCCCCATATGATCAGTTCATCTTGAATGAAGAGCTGAAAACTCTTGAGAACTTAGACTTAGGCGACATGCATTGCTCTCCCTCTCTCCCTCAAGCAAAAAGCAGTTGGACGGACTTCTCCACTTCGGCACGGCGAGTACCTTACCCAAGAGGTCCGTGATGGTGAAGGAAAAATTGGCCAATGCCTGGCAACGGGTTTTCAACATGTCGAGCAACTTTTCAACCGGATGCAACGGCATCTGGCTTCTTTCTTCGAAAAGCAACCCAAATCTGCTCCCGTCTTGCTCAAACAGTCTAGCTCTCACTTGCTGATTCTGTACACTTCAGATATCTCTGCGCTGGCCCCTCAACACACCAAGGCCGTTTCTTTTTTGTCCTACAAAGTGTGCTAGAAGATCATATCTATTATACACGCCTAACCGCTCCGAGCCAGCCGCTCCGAGTCACTCCACAAATAAGCGTGTCATAGCATAGTGTGTCTCAAATCTTGGACTCCCCCATTGTTTACGCCGGCTGTTGTTTAGGCTCGATCTGCATCACACAAACTATCATCCCCTATTCAGGCATGTAGGAAACACCACGACAACACCCTGGTGCCTTCATCTCATCATGCCATGCCCCTCGAGCGAGCAAGCGATCAAGCCTCTGGCGCTAAAGATGAACCGGGACGGGTCATGGAAACCCAAGGAATGGAAGCTGAAAACGCACACAAGGTTTGTGGGGGAGAGTCATGTTCCAAGGGTCTACGGTGTCTACGTGTTCCACGAGTTTTTGGGTCCATCCACATGTCGTGTCTTTTTGCGTCACCCTACGACACCCATTCAGGTCTGGAGTGCCTGTGATCATCGCGGTTTAAGGGGGCCTGAAGAGAAACCCCGAAACGGAGGCACGAAAGCACGACAAAACCATGCCTGAAAGCTTCATCGAAAAATGAGGTGCTTGGAATCTAGCGCCGCGCAACGTGTCACAAACGGAACTGATCCAAAGGCCTCCTGCTCAAGTGCCAGGTGTGAAGCTTGAATAAGCACACTGAGCTGAGCTGGATTTGCATGAGGCAAAATTCTGCCAATTGCAAAGTTCAATGAAGAGTTGTATTCTTGGACAGTTACCCAGTGCACCACAAAATCACTCTTTACAGAGCCAGCAGTTTGTTTGTGGTTTGGGTTGTGCTTTGCAATTCTGGCTTCTACATCTGAGATTGAAGTATAGGTCGTCATAATGACATAAGACTCCCCGCCCAAAGAAAAGCCCAACAACAAATAAATAGACGTGCATGGTACGTATCTCAACCAATCAAAGGTTCAACCCCCCCTACCCTACCGGAACAGCTTCGATTAGGTCCTTCCTCCCCTCATTTCGATAGGTTTCGCTCGGCGCCCAGCCAAGGCGCGCGCCCGACTCGATCGGCGACCTCGCTTGGTTCAGCCAAGGCGCTTGGACTTCACCATCCACTTGGGACCATGCCAGAAAAACAAGGGCTCCTGGGACCCGCTCGTGGGTCTACGGCTACCACGACTGGTGGAAGGCTTTCAGCCCCCCCTCATCAAGTCAATGGCGCGCAGAGCTCTGGGGACGAGATCTGCGGCGTCTCCGAAGTCCCGGTCCGCCGGTCCGAGGAGGAATTCGCTTTTCTCACTCTTCGAAGATATGACGATCAAAAAGAATCTAAGAGATATGGCACAAAGACAATAATGGAACTTTTGAAATGATCCAGTCATTGATTGGATGTGATATTGAGGAACTTATTGACATAATCTCAAATCTGCCTTCGTATCAGTGGTACCACTATGGCCACCTCCATCGCTTCGTACCACTACAATCATTGCCCTGCCACCACTGTCCTTGGCGTGTGCGAGGAGCATTTCTGTCAGTTGCTTCTCCAGACTTGCTGCCTGAAGATAAACCATGGTCATAAGTGGGCTGCAAACGAAAACCTTATTGAGACCTGCTACGGTGTAGCCAACACACACTGAATGCCGTTGTTTCAACACCACAATGCACAATTTCTTTGCTTGGCCGTCCTGTCAATCGACTAGGATCTCGCCTTTCGCTGACTCTGACTCTCCATTCTCGTGTTGGTCACCAGTCGACCCTTTGGAGCATGTTGGAACTATATATAGAAACCCTTGGGACAAGAAATGAACATCGAAGTTGAGGGTGAGCTCGAACGTGCGTTCAGCTCCTGGTCGATGGAGCCTTCAGAATCCTGGCCTCCACCAAGACCGTCTTTTGAGGACTTGCAGCCATTGCATGGCGGATTGCAGTCAGTGCAGTGTCGAAGAGCAGCCCTGGCAGACACAGCAGCGCGTTTTGGGGCTATAGCCGCTGCAGAATTCAGGAGAAGTCCACGTATGCGACGTGAAAAACCTTCAAACACACTAAAAAGGAGACTCTGTCACTGCAACCTTCTATTGCTTGCGCCAAGCGAAGTGAAGCGCTTCACTGCGAGCGGAACGGTACCCGCACCCAAGGACTGGTGCAAGAAGCTGTACGTCTCCAAAGGCCCCACATCCTGGCAAAAAGGAGGGGCTGAAGACTCAGCCCAATGAGATCTGCATTTATGAGCCTGTCAAAGCGAACTTCACATGCACTTAAGTATTGAGTTTCTAAGGACATTGCATCATCATTACTGTACAAAACGAGGGAGCCCTGTCAGGTATTGCTTTTTATTGGTATGGACATTTTGCAACACCACTTCACGTATTTACACACGGCTGTGGCTTTGCAGCCACAGCATGGAATAGCATCAAAGGGGAAGTCTATATAATTGTTAACCAACAACAACTAGCTGCTGTGTTTCTTGGCTCTTTATGCAACTGATCTTGATAGCCCAAGAATGTCCCTTGTTAAACACTCCTCGTCCCTGACTCCGGACTTGGCCATGATATGCCCATATATAACCTAAATCCGAACTTCCGGCTTCCCTTCGCTCCTGTTAATGGATTTTTGCATGTTGTTGTTTAACTATGTCAATGTGATATATCAGTGGTGCTGAAGCGATGGAAACGGTCTGACCAGGCATGCCAGACCCGACCCGAGGCAGCCGGGCAGCCGGGCAGCGGTGATCCGTCGGCGTTCATCCTCCAAAATCTGCTGCTCGAGCCTGGCCCATCGACAAAACAATGAGTGGCTTCGGAGTGAGCATGAATGGCTTAGATTGTTGGCTTCGGGTTTAATGGATTAGAGGATCAACAAGTTGATGATAGTTTATGTTAGCTTGGCTTGGAATGGCATGAGTCTGTGACGAGCACGAAGCGCACAACATCCTTCCCCATAGGAGGAACGAAGGTACATAGGAAACTCGATGACCAAAATGAACACAATAAGGCAAAGGATGTATCACAAAACGAACAAAACGTCAGTGAGACAGAAGTGGACACTTCTTTACCCTGTTGCGCCATGGAAAACAGATGGGCTGGTAGCTGAGATTTTAGCTTGGATGGATGGATGGATGGATGGATGGATGGGTCTTTTACAAATCCAACTCGCCGTATCGGACGGTCTGGTGTTGTGCGCTCCACCACCTGCGCAAACAACCAGATCAACATGAAGGATATCATAACGTCACTGCTTCACAATCTATATACCTGCAGGGTCACCGAAGAATCCTGAGTGGTCAAAATCGAAACGGGTGCACTGTTACTACGGTAGAAGAAATCCTGCACTGATATTCCTCAGGTAGAGGATGTCCCACGACGAGACTCCTTACATGAGTTATAGTTATAGTACGCATGATTCAATAAGTAAGCAAGCCAATCAGGTTGTCAAAGTTTAGGGTTCTTGACCGCAAGTCCGCACCTTGCACATTCTTAGGAATGACTGTGCAGGCTTGATTGATTAGCCAGGTCAGGTTTAACACTTGGTGATCAATTAGTATTAGCGAGCTTTCACACTTACCCGTACAACCATATCTCACATCTCAAACCGACCCCTCATCAGCAAGAGCATCATCAACATCAACTCTATTAATCTATTAAGTAGTAGAACTCGATATCAGAGCCGACCTGATCTCATTTAAACTTGTAGCAAACCTCCCCTTGTTAATCAAGCCTATCTCGAGCCCCAAATGCTAAACCAATTTAAAACCTAACTTTCGACATTGACCTCCCTCTAGTAAACATCTTCTTTGGCCAAAAATATACCCCTACTAATCAAGCCCATGTGCCCGCAGAATATTGAAAACATGTTCACACAGAATTCCATCAACCATCATCCTTCATCAGGCCATCACCTTTATTAGGGGGATGTGGTCTCCCATACCTCCAATCTCAAACCTTGTTGACCTTGAGGGGGGGTGATTAATCCGAAGCCGACATTAGCAAAAAACATGTCACCAACCCTCTTCACATTGTCTCTTCCGTGAACTTCTGCAAAGCGGTTGAATCCACAGCTAGATGACTGCGGGTCAAAACCCCGTAACCCTGATTGACCGCTGAAAATGAACATAAATGGGGGTTGTTCAAAAGTCCTTTCATTTTTTTTCAGGCCTTTCGCAGGACCTTCGCGAAGCTTTCGCAAGCTTTCGCGCGTGGGGTTTTACCACTGTCGGCGAAAATGGTTTTTCGTTGGGGCTAGAGGCTTTCAAGGATAGTTGCCCTGGCACGTCTTGTGTCCTCTGATCACTGACACATTGATTGCTGAGGAACAGGAAGCCAGCGAACCAAGACATTTTCATGTTGGTGTGTTTTTGGTTGGGCGCAACCCTCCATGAACAAGAGACGGC